CCTGGCCCCCGGACCTGGTCCTCTGACCTGGCCCCTGGGCCTGGTCCCCCCTTTCCCCCCAAACTAACTGGCCCCCTGACCTGGCCCGTGGCTTGGCCCCCCGACCTGGTCCCCCGACCTGGCCCGCAGCCTGGCTGACTCCCAGCTCCGCTGAGTCGTGTGTCCTGGGATGCCCCCGCCGTCCTGGTGGCTGCCCGCCTCCCCACAGGACGCGGGTCTCTCCGCATCTCTCCCCAGGTCTGGGTCTGGGTCTGATGGACATAGGAAAGACGTTTTCCATGACCAAGTCCATGAGCACACACACACACACACACACACACACACACACACATGAACATTACACGCACGTACACACGTATGTTTTCAAATGCAGTATTAATACAGGGGACTTCAGAAAGTTCCTGGAAAACGGAACTGAAAGATAAAAGTAAGTAATATAAACCCCCTCCCTCAACAGGTGCCCCACGTACAAGGTGCTTTTCCGAGCGATTATTCGGGACGGACTCCTTCCCTAAGTTAAGGATGCTGCCTTCATGCTATCGGAGAAGAAACGGCGCCCCTGACATGCTCCCTTGGAGGTTAGGAGGGTGGCCGGGCCCGCGGACACTGCACCGCCACCCAGGGGTGCACACGCGGTCAGCGGGTGCTCGCTGAAGCCCGCCGGGCTGTTCGGTGACAGCGCAGCCAGCCCTGGGACGCGGCTCCAGAACTACGTGTCAGCCAGCACTCTTCCCAGTACCCAGACCCTGACTGCATCGTCCAAAGGTCCATGAAAGCACTGCTCTTCCCTGTAGCCCGAGGCAGGCCGCGAGCTCGGCTTCAGTCTTCCAGCCACGGACACGTCTGCTGTGAGCACGGCCCCGCCCCCCCGCAGGCCTCCCTCACACCTGACGTGGGTGGCCTGTCGCGGCTGGCATCATCCAAGATCGTCCCATCCCTTCTTTAAAACCAGCCACCCGCGCGCAGACCCTAGCTTGGGGCACGGCCCTGTGACAGTTCCTCAAAGCACCCTGACTCGCACCTGCCTTGGCTCGGGCTTCGGCTGCGGCAGGATCCATGTTCCTACACGGGCTATTTTCAAACTGACGTCTCATTCTTGGTGTCTCAAACTAGACTGTCCAGACGTTACAGCAAGCTCACGAGCCGTTTTGGTGCAAAAAACCCTGAAATGCATGCATGGTTTTTTTGTAATATTCATTTTCCACGAATTCTTTGAACACCCTCACATATACCATGGAGGGCAGATCCTGGCTTTGAACATGCGGCGTTCTGTGTAATACCGAGACAAAGCAGCAAACAATTCTCCTGGTAGCCTGGAACTGGGGGGGGAGACAAAATTACCTCCAAGGTCCAATTTAAAAGAAAACAAATACAAAAAGGAAGAAGTGGTAAGACAAAATCACCAAGATGTCGCCCCTGCCTTGTTTTTTTTTTGCTAGAAACCACAGGTGGAAACGGGCTTCACATGACCCTCAGGAAACGCTCAGCTCAAAGACAGATCAGCCACCTGCTGCCTGGGGAGAGGGAGGATGGCGTCCGGGAAGGCAGAACTAAGAATTCGGATTCTGGTTTCTTGACAAGGGAAGAGAGAGAAAGGGGAAGAGAACATGCGGACCTCGGCAGCGCGGTGCAGTCTCCAAGCTCCGTCTGCCCGGTGCCAGCCGCTGTTAAAGTGGGGAGGGTGCCCCTTGAACTTACCTCAGAGAGAGAGGCCTGGAGGCC